GTACCAAGACTATTTCACCTCCCTTTTCTTAGGACATAAGTTTACTATTTCCTTTTCTAACCGTGGTCCTGAACCTTCTGGATCTTGTTTGGTTTAAATAGTTTTTTGATTGTGGCCTGAGTTTCTACTTAGACATTCAGAGTACACAGGCTGAGTATAAATGTCATACATCATAAGTGGCCTGCTCCTTTGACATTCCCTAGGTACTGCCTTGAACTACAATTTGGAAAAAGTTCACATTTTAATGATCTAAAACAATTTTTAAAGGTATCACATTTTCTGTTTACTTTAAAGCCACCAGTGAAGACTATAAGCTCCTGGAAAATATGAATAAACTAACCAGCTTGAAGTATCTTGAAATGAAAGATATTGCTATAAACATTAGCAGAAACTTAAAGGACTTAAACCAGAAGTGTAAGTAATATTTTTTATAATTAAACATGTTTGTATTTAATGTTCTTTTGTGCTTAGGACCGTGGAGAAGGGAAGGGAACATGACATCCTTGTCTTCTGGGGATTCATTTTCTAAAAATGAATTACAAAGTTAAGGTGAATTTCTTCCATTCTGAGGATTAGCATGCTTTGGTGGTATGGTTATTTCTACTTCCAAATCTTTATTTTATCAGTTTATTTCTGGAAAGGGAGTGGGGAGAGGAGGGGTGGCCAAATTCTAGGGAATTGATTTCACAATGAAATCCATAAAGGACTACTCTATATGGAAAACTGGAAAGTCTATAAATGGAAAAAGCTAATTTACAGTGGTGAAATATATTTTTTTCATTGACTTATATTTGTATTCCTTGTCTTTAAGGGCACTCTTTCTTGGTATTTGAATACTCAAAAAACAGAATCAGTAATGGAAAAATTGTTGAGGACCAGGAGATTAAAAAGAAAGGAAAATTAGATGAGAGAGACTTACTTTGTCTAGGTCACAGTCGTAGCTACTGTCTTCTAAAGCCTCTGCCCTACTAGTGATCAGAATCATGTCTCCCCACCTATTCTGTCTTAGGCACATCTGGAGAGACACTAGTATTCTTACTTTCCACTTTTTCTATACTTCTTGTTGATGCCATATGAAAAAATGCAGTTTGTTTTTGTTTTTAAAGATGCTGAACTACAGCCTTATCTGGATCAGATCAGTGTAATTGAGGAGCAGGTAGCAGCTCTTGAGCAGGCAGCCTACAAGTTGGATGCATATTCAAAAAAACTGGGTAACCATTTTTATTTTTGTTTTGACTTAATAAAGAGTACCCCTGGCCAGTATGTCACTAACTAGTGTAATAGTTAACATTTATGCTGTAGCTACAATGATCTATTAATCTTCACAAAAACCTACTGAGTAATTTATTATTATTATAGACTAAAATAACATTTCCTGAGTACTTAAGTATTCTTAGTGCTTTACATGCATTATGTTTTTTATCTTCCCAGTAATCTGTACATGATTTTTATTCCCATTCTGTAGAGGAGGAAAATGTGGTTTAAGGGGTTAAGGAACTTGCTTAAGGACTACAATACCAGTACGTGTAAGAGCAATTCTGTTTGATTAAAAGCTGAGCTCTTAGTTGTGATCTAGCAGGCCAGATCATCTTTGATAATGTAGATATGTATGTCTTAAAAAGCAGAATAGTCAATCAAGAATTTTCTTGAAGGGTTACTTTTCCTTTAAGAAAGATACTAGTATTTTTAGTGTTGATGGTTTGCTAACTGGCTCTGGCTCTTATATCCATAGTTAAAAATAATGAATTTGCTTTTTTCCTAGATAACACTTACAGATTATTTTATTTTTATCGTTGACAATTGTTGATTACTTCAACAGAGTCGTTTGTAGCAGGCTGAGATTTGACATGGATGGTGATCAGCAATCAGTTTCATTGTCTACAATTACATTTATTAAATGGTTACTGTGAACCTTACCATGCAGAAGGCATTTTACCAGGTGCTTTTGAGGTTTTAAAAGAAAAAGAGAATCTGTCACAGTATGAGGTTATGTGATGGACTTTTAAATCTCTGTATCTTTCTTTTCTTTCTTTCTTTTTTTTTGTGGCTGTCTGGTGCAGGGATCGAACTCCAGGTGTTGTCAGCACTGTGCTGTAACCAACTGAGTTAACTGGCCAGCCCTTCTCTGTATCTTTCGAAATTGCTCTTCTGGAGTGAGGTGTAAGGATAAGAACATAAAAGAGGAAATATACATTTATACTGAGAGTTCCGGTCTGGTTCCTGAGGGTACCTGGGACAGTGCCTGGAGAGGCAGTTTCCTGTGCTTAGTAAGGCTCCTGATGGGTCATGTGCTAGTAGGTCTGCTTAATCCTGGTGGAGCCGTCTAAGCAGGTGCTATTGACAGGGTTAGAACTTAGTGAACTTATGTCGGATTCCCAATTCTTGATGAGTGTGTTTGACTCCTTATTTCAAGTTGTGCAGATCGAAGATCTGAGTATTTGGGCAGATGATGAGATTGAAGCTAATAGATTTTTTAAAATGTAATAGGCATTTTTGTTTGTTTGTTGTTTTGAAAAGCAAAGAGCAGTTTTATTTAGCAAAGTGAGAGTATACTCTGGAGAGGATGGAGCAGGCTTGAGCAAGAGAGAGTGGCTCAAGAGCCATAATAGGCATTTTTGAATTTGCCTGGAAATGCTAACTAAAAAGTGTCTTTGTAAGAGCCAGTTTAAAAATATGTAACTTGCCCACCTGCTCTCCTCCTGCAGAAGCCAAGTACAAGAAGCTGGAGAAACGATGAAAAACTTATTTCTATGGGACAAAGTCTTTTTTAATGTGGAAGAATGTTTTATAAGACCTGAATCCTGAGGCTGATGAATTGTCAAAACTCCTCACAAGGACACTATGATGGTCATCCCAGGAACATCCCAACATTGGAGTAAACTGGAGGACTGTGGCTATCTGAACCTCCTTTGAGGCAGTATTCCTCAGAAACTTACACATTATAACTCCTTACCTTTTACTTGAATGCTTCATTATCCATTCAGGACAGAAACTCAAAGTTCAGGATAAACCTGGGCTTGCCAGTAGAATCAAATGAAAGGACTTATTTTCTCTGGAAGTGGTTGATTACTACATTATTTTCTTAAATGGCTGGTTTTTGAGTTACTGTGTAAATGGTTGTTTTTTTCTATTAATGATTCTAAATTAAAAAAGTAAAACAAAACAAATTTGTTTTTTTGCCAGTATTACCTTGTGAATGTCAGTAATTTACTTCTCCATAATATTGCAATAACAGAAAATCTTAAAATAATTTCAGGCTGAGTCTTCAGACTGAGCAGAAATAGTGAAAGGAGTGTTTTTACAGCTTGGTGTCTAGGATGGGCTCCTCTTGTCTCTTTTATATGTGAGTCAAATGTTGAGGGTGGAATGGGATCTTGACATGTGCTCCCTTTTGGAAATGTGATAAAGACAAAGACAAGATGTGTATGTGTGCTGGGTGGGGAGGTAGGGGCTGCCACTCATAAAATAAAGCATTTTATAAACTATCTTCCTACTTGCATCTGGAATCAGGTGGGTTCCTGGGGACCTTCCTTTCATGCTAAAGACATCAATTTCATTTCCTGTTACTCATACACTATGTTCAGCTATCTTCAGCTATCTTAAATTCCCAGATGAGTTTTCTTTTCATAAGCTTTGTATTTTAGAAGAGATTTAGATGTACAGATAAGTTGCAAAGATAATATAGAATTCCATGGGTGAGTTTTCGTATCTTCCTGTGGTTTCCTCTTCTTGGAATTATTACTTGTCCGTGTTTAGCAAACTTATACTCTTCTTCAAGATTCTGTCTTTAGTGCCACTCCTGGGCAGTGCTGTGTTTCCCAAAAAGTAGGAAAAAAAATGCATGCTCAATATGGCAGCAAAGCAGGGGCATCAATATATATTTATGAGGCAAAAAGCATTGCAGAAGTTGGGGAGAAAAGAGAACTTTGTGGTTCTTCCTTTACTTATTTTATGTTTTATTTAATTTTTTAAAGATGACTGGTAAGGGGATGTTAACCTTTGACTTGGTTTTGTCAGCACAACGCTCTCCAAAGTGAGCTAACCAGCCATCCCTATATAGAGATCTGAACATGTGGCCTTGGTGTTTTCAGCGCCACACTCTCCCAAGTGAGCCATGGGCCGGCCCTTGTTTTAGTTAAGTTTGAATAACTTGGGTGCCCTTGATGAATCTTCTGTGCCCCTCAGTTGTCAGGAACTCTCCCCTTTTGTTTCCATTTCCTCATACACCGTGTCTCCTACCAATTGGCCTGAATTCTTCAAAGAAGTCAATGTCATGAAAAACAAACCAAAAAGGGAGGTGGCCTTTTGTAGATTAAAAGAGACTAGAAATAGAACCAAATGCAATTATGAAACTTGACTGGATCCTGGATGAAAACGAACTGCAGGTGTAAAATCAGTTTGAGAAGACAAATGGAGAATTTGAAATGTAGATGTATATTAGGTGTTATTGAGTTAATTTTCTTAGGTGCTTTAATGGTATGGTTATGTAGGATGATGTTCCTTATTATGGGGAGATGCATGCTGAGGTATTACTGAGGTCTGCACTTTGCTTTCAAATGATTCAGTGAAAATTAAAGTGCTAGGGCACCTTGAGAGAAAGCGCGCAAGCAAATCTGGCAACATGATGACACTGTATCGAGGTCATGGCTTAATAGGTTAAAAACTTTGATAGGTTAAAAACTTACAAAAAGCGTGGTTGGAGGGGGGTCTGTCTTGCCCATTAGACTGATACGGTTAGGTTAGATTATGGCCCAATATTGTTCAGGGAACTTTCTAGCAGCTCGCTAACTTCATTCAGTTGCTCCTAAATAAATCATAACTGGCGTCCTTTCGGTCATTTCTTCTTCCTTCTTGGTTTCTCCTTGAGGCGAAACCACCTGCGTGAGGTTTATGAGCCTCGGCGCTCTCCGTAGATAACTGACTCCCCATTGGCTGGGGTACGCTGACGTCTTATTGTAGTGCGCTCGCATTTATTTCGAGGACCGCTGGTTCGGTTTCTCGGTTTTAGGTGGTCGTGCTAACCCAGGCTGTTGGGCCCGATGGCTCAGAAACCGCTGCGCCTGTGAGTGACCCTGAATTGGAAATCTCTGTGTGTGTAGAGACTGGCGGGGGTCTTTCTCATGACAGGAAGGGAGAAGGGAAAGGCGGGGGGTGGGAGGGAGGCTGCTGGGGAGCTCGGTCATCTTTTAGCGTAGCTTGGGCTGGCCTTTCTTCCGGGGCGTTTTGGCTTCCGAGGGGGGACTCTCGGTGACATTCGTTGAGAGAGGCGGAAGGTTCCAGAGTCAGGCTTCCTCCATTTTAGGCCGTCCTGGCTTCTGACACAACATTTCCCCATCATTTCTCCTCTGACGCCATTTATTTGTTAAACAAATACTTCTAGACATCGAGTCCACTGATGGGCCCTGGGCAGTGGTGGATAGGATAGATAGATAGATGATTGATAGATAGATAGATAGAGATAGGGCCCCTACCCTGGCTTACTTTTTTGAGGGAGGAGGAGCCGCGGGGTAGTGAATAGAGAACTTCTTTCGTTCATTCATCAAGTATTTATTGAACAACTGCGGTATGCCAGGACCTGTGCTAGGCCTTACACAGATGAAGTTCCTGCCTTAATGGAGCTTATTGTCTAGGGGGACAGTTATTAATCAAATAATCCAGATTAATGTATTACGATAGTGGCATATGTTAGGAAGAAAAGGTTCACGGTTCCGGGAGAGTGTATAATAGGGGTATTTGCCTTCATGGGAGGAATCAGGGAAAGCTTCCCTAAGAAAATGAGGATTGAGCCCTGATAAATATGTTTGTCTTTAATCTCAAAATAGTCATTGAAATGTTTATATGAATGCCTTGGCGTGATCAAATTTTTGTTTGGCTACAATGTGGAGAACAAATCAGAGCCAAAGTAGAGAATAGGTAGGATTAGGTAGACTGATAGTAGAGGAGAAGTTTAGGGATCAAGGTTTATTAAGGAGGTGAAATCAATAGGGTTTGGTGATGGTTTGTTCGTGAGTGAGAAGGAGTTGGCACTGTTACATCATAGATTTTTATCTTTTTTCAAAGAGATAGGGAACACCGGAAAAAGGGCCCAGATGAGAAGATATGACTTGAGGCACCTTGTGATGTACTAATTGAGCAATGGATCTCCCAGAAACAATTATAATTCCATGTCACAACTGCTGTGATAGAAGTGCAGGATCCTGTGGGAGCACCAGGAATTGATAACTGACAGGGAGAGGAAGTCTTTCTAGAAGAGGTGGTGCTCGGAAGATAAATAAAAATGCTTAATAGGTTATGACAGAGCTTGCTCTGAAATGCTATATGGGTTTCTGAGGTTTTGAGAAGGAAGTAACTTTCTGAGCTGACCAGGAAGGCTTCAGAGATGTGCTAGGCCTTGAAGGATGGGAAAAAGTTAGACTCAGAGTAGGACGGGACTGTTAGGAGAGGTAACAGTCTCAGGGAATGGCAGAGGCAGAGGGTGATCAAGTTGACAGTAGGGAAGGTTTCAGTTAGGGAAACTAGGAGAAAGCACTGGAAAGACAGGTCAGGACCTGTGGAAGGCTACGGTTCTATGGGCAGTGGGGAACCTCTTAATGTTTTTGAGGAAAGAACATTAAACTGATGATTTTATGTAGGATGGATAGTAAGAAGAAAAGGCTTTAGGAGAAACATAAGTGTGTTCTCTACTTTGTATCCAGTACCAGATTCATCATATTTCTCTCTGATTCTGCCTCTGCCATGTCTCAGTTGCTCATCCTTGCAGTTATCCCCCATTCCCACTTCTTCCTCATCCTACTTCCCATCTGTTTTCCCATCCTACTTCCTCACTGTAGTTGTGTTCAAATTCTAAATTTGTCATATGTTTCTTTCCTCCCCATCTCCATTAGTCATTGTCCTTCTTGCTGAAATTTTTCCTTATAGTCACTTGTTCCTCCAAAACATCTTTCACCATTTCTAAAACGATCTTTTTAAAGCAGGTAATGTCATGTCATTATCCTGATTGAAAATATTCAGCAATGTGGACAGTAGTCCACTTGATCTTAGCTAAATGGCTGAGAAGTGATGATGTGGACAATAAGAGCACACCAGAAAGACATAACTGAAAAGACAATAAGAACTCTAATATTTCAAAATGAGTTAAAAGACATTAAGAAAATGATATGAAAAGTGGAAAACTATGTAAGTCAGAATTTGAAAATCTCAGAAATGAGATGATAGAACAAGTCACTTCACAACTTAGGGCCAGTCTACCTTACCGATCTCAGTTCTTGCCATTTTCTACGTCCTGCTCCATAAGACTTTATACATATCTTCTATTATAGCCTGTTAAGTATAAATTTATAATGATTGAATTATCTTTCCTTTCCTGATTGTAAACTCTTTGAGGCTTGAACTGAGTCTTCCTCCTCTTTGTATTCCTAACGTGTTCTTAGCATAGTAGTTGGCATATTGCACTTAGCATTTGTAGGTGTCCAGTACATATTATTGAATGAATGATTAAAGCCCTGTACTAAAATAGAGTCAGATATAAAAAGGACAGAATGAATATGAAAGATGTTTGGAAAAAGGGATTGGTGGGACTTGGTAACTGGGGGGGATTTTTGACTCTTTATGACCAAGTTGGTGATACACCCATCTGTAAAACTTAAGAATGAAAAGAAGCTGGCTCAATTGTGAAGGAAATGATAAGCTAAATTTTAGATTTGGCGAGTTAAATGGTTAGTAATAGTTTACGTGCACTGAACCTCACAAGGTAACTACAGAGAAACTAAGTCACACATCTATCTACTCCAGAAGACTAGCATATACCAAACCTGGAAGTCCAATTTGTGTTTCCTGAATTGCCATAATCTTTATTGCTTGTTTGCAGTTTGGCTTGTGGAGATGTTGAAGGAAAGTTTGATGTTTTATTCAATAGAGTTCGAGCAATTCAGAAGAAAAGTGGAAACTTTGATGTAAGACATTTCTTTTTACTGAATTTAATTTTACCATTGTAGCTAAACATACTAAAATTAAGTTTGAGCTCCTTTGTTAATTTCTTGATTGAGCACACACTCTTCATTTTTGTTAGACTGAATTCCTTTTGTGTGCATAGGAACTTAGTACCTGCAGTTGTTTGGGGGAGGGAGACCTATTTACTGTAGACTTTTTATACCTTTGAATTTGAATCTTATTACTTTATTATTGTACAGAAAACCAAAAACAGACCAGCAAAACCTCCCGAGGTACTTCTGACCCCTGGGTTTGGGAAGCACAAATCTATTTCCTGAGTGAATGGCATGGACCAAATCAGATACCATATGTTCAAATGCTTCACAAACTAGAGAACCCTATATAAATGTTATGTATTGTTGCCAGCTAGACTGTAAACTTCTAGAATACAGAAGAGCATTCTAGGTGTAGGGATAATTTGTTCATTGGGTTAAAAGTTGAGTAAAGATAACAGTCAGGAAATGTGTTTTTAATGCCCTGAATCTTCCAGGTATCTAATATTTTAGGTTTTGTATTTCATAGAGGGATTCTTTAAAGGTCTATTTCCCCATCACTATATAGTCCAAGGAAGGAGAAGGATGGTGGAAAGAATTATGGAGTGGCAGAGTGGGACTAGGATTAGTTGAGAAGCACTTGAATTCTGACTTCTTTCGCAAGTTCAGTTCCCTGACTCTATTCTCCATCCCCAACCTGGATTTGACAGCCAGTGTGCCAAAATTTAATAATTCATAGAATCATAGAATTGCTGTTAAAGAATTCTGTGTTGAAATTCTGGAAATTGGTTAAGAATAATGGTTTGATACTATTAAGTTGGATAATTAGCTACTGTTACTATCAATTATGTACTGTCTTATGTTTAAAAACCTCATATATCTGTTTAAAAAACTCATTTTAGCTGCTGTTGTGTGTAGGAAATTTCTTTGGTTCCACCCCAGATGCTGATTGGGAGGAGTATAAGACTGGCATCAAGAAAGGTATAAAAATTATTTTATTTAACATATGATTTCTTACAAAGTTTCAAGTTCTGGCTGGATTGCTTTTCACATGTTAGTTATTAAAGAATTTCCCATTCGAGCTCTGCATTGAGCTGGAAAGAATGCTTGTGCATAATCTACATGTTCACATTTTGATCTTGGTTCAATTTAGTTTCAGAAAAATAATTCTCTTCTAGGTTGGCAGGAACTGAATAAATACAACCATATGTGTCCTTTCTTTATTCCAGTTCTAGTATTTTTTATTAAGCTCTTTAGGGTCTGTGTTTGCTTCATTATACATTGACTATCCTCTTTAAGATGTCACTTCATCGGCTTAGTGACACCATTTAATAGTTAAACCACAAAGTTGGGTGTAGGATATCCTTAGTGGTGAGCATATTCCACATTTAAGATTGCTGTGAGGGGAATGCACAGACTCTTTAGTTTTGCTTTAAGTATTTTTTCCTATGGGAAAGTATTTCTCAAGTTCCAAAGCAAATCTGGTAACTATATGGTGTCATGTCTGTTTCCCTCACTAGCTCCTATTCAAACATATGTGCTTGGTGCCAATAACCAGGAAACAGTAAAACATTTCCGAGATGCTGATGGGTGTGAATTAGCTGAAAATATTACTTATCTAGGTAAGTTGATATTTTTTGTGTTTGTTATGCACATAATAAAGTGTTCTCAGGAATTAGTCTCCTAGGAAATTTTTGGCTGGATTCTTCTGCCATTACTGCCTGAGAGAATGGGGGTTGGAAGTTTTTAGTGCTGATCCTTGGGATTTTTACTCGCTCTATCTTTTTCCAATTCAAGGTTCTTTTTCTTCAATTCCAGGTTAAAGTTGTTCCTTCCACACCTCTCTGTATTGCTTTCAGTGGTTCTTTCAATGTCTAGCCATTTTTAAAAGGACTGTCAAATTTTGCTTTTGTTTCCCCCCACTTGTCAGTCTTCTGCCTCTTGGATCATTCAACTCATTTTTTTCCTAAATGGCTCCACTGCTCTTCATATTTCCTCTTTGTCGGTCTCATTTCTCTAGAAAACATCTGCATTTCTTTTGCTGTAAATGCTTTCCCTCTCCATAGTCCATCTTGCCCTTTAGTCTCTATATCTGGCTGTGGCTCTCATGTAATCAGTCTCATCTTGCTCATATGGGTTTCTTTTAAGCAAAAAATTGAGGAAAGGATTTTTTTTTTTTTTTTTTTTTTAAAAGATGACCGGTAAGGGGATCTTAACCCTTGAGTTGGTGTTGTCAGCACCACGCCCAGCCAGTGAGCGAACCGGCCATCCCTATATGGGATCCGAACCCGGGGCCTTGGTGTTATCAGCACCGCACTCTCCCGAGTGAGCCACTGGGCCGGCCCGAGGAAAGGATTTTTATTTGTTGTTTTTAACCACACTTGTGAGATATACATTTTGAAATCCTTTTGTTGTAGATCTTAACGTGGGCCTGACTGTGGCAGTTCTCATCTAAATCAGTTTTTAGATTTGTATTAAGAGACTACTGTAGATATTTGGCAGCGATTTTATCATATGGATTTAGTGCCAGGAGTGGAAAGAGCAGATGGGGTACTTGGGTTATTTCTGTGAAACAGATTTTTTGAGATCCAGTAGGAGGAGCAAGCAATAAACTTGATAGTAAACATGGGATATTGAGGTTTAAGTGCTGGTAGAACATCTGACATATAGTTGGAAGTGATAGTTCTTTCTAAAGTATCAATGTTGAAGGGTGTAGACTTTGGGGAGTTTATAAATAAAGCTGAGAAGAGGATCAAATTTTTAAAGAAGAAATATAATTAGAAGGGGGCTGGCCAGTTAGTTCACTGGGGAAACCATGGTGCTGGTAACATCAAGGTCATGGGTTTGGATCCCCGTACCAGCCAGCTGACAAAAATAAATAGATGAAAGAGAAATATAATTAGAAGAGAAGCAGGTAGATGATAATACCGTGTGTGTGTGTGTGTGTGTGTGTGTGTGTGTGTGTGTGTGTGTGTGTGTGTGTATATATCTTCATCTAGGAGGTAGGCAAAGAGAGGTGAAAGTGCTTAAAAGACTGTTTGGAGAGGTAAAGATATTGTCAAATTCATAGAGTCTAAGTAAAGAGAGCATAGTCTGAGGAGAAGACCATTGGCAATTTTAGGGTGATCAGTGACCTTAAAGAGAATGATAGAGGGAAACTAGATTGCAGTGGGTAAGGAACTAATTAAGAGATAAAGCACTTCAGAAGTTCAAAATTACAGAGGAGGAATTTTCTTTGTAGGTTTGTTCATTTTGGATGGGGATGATTAAGCATGTTCTATTCTTTTCTGAGCAGAAAGACCAATTGAGAAGAAGAGACTCAGTAGATGAAAGGGAGGTCAAAATTGATGGAGCAAGGTCTTGGAGGCAACAGAAAGGAGTGGAGTCAAGGCCACAAGCTGGGAATAACTTTAGAAGACAGGAGAGTCTCTAATTTTTCCCAAACAGTTGCTCTTTCCAAATGTTTTCCTTCACTTGGAAGTTACTGCCTGCCTGAAGAGTACATCTTTCTAGACTATTGCTTCCTCAGAACTGCTGTTATTTGCCTCTTGCTGTGTCCAGGTGTCTGGGTTTCTCTCAGTCCCTGTAGAGTGTTCTCTAAGGCAGAAAGCCTTTGCTTAATCACTGCTTCTCAACTTTTTTCCATAATATTTGTAAGGCACCTGGCATAAACAGACTGGCTCATGGGCTACAGCAGCCTTCGCATGAGGGTTGCTCATACTTACTAAACAGGAATACTGTTGTTGCATCATCCAACATTGATACCTGGCAGCCAGAAGCGGGGCTACAGGAGAGTTTACACTTGTTTAGGGATGTAGAATGGCAGGGACATAGGAGAGTCATGGCATGAGGAGAGAGGGTCATAGCCATATTGATGGCCTTTTGTTCTGCAGTTTTCACTAAAACTTGTCCATTTTTCTTTGAACCCAGGTCGTAAAGGTATCTTCACTGGAAGCTCGGGGCTGCAGATTGTGTACCTCAGTGGGACAGAATCCTTAAATGAGCCAGTCCCAGGTTACAGTTTTAGTCCCAAGGATGTGTCTTCCCTGAAAACAATACTGTGTTCAGCATCCCAGTTTAAGGGTGTTGATATCTTGCTCACATCCCCATGGCCCAAGTATGTGGGGAACTTTGGGAATTCTTCTGTGAGTAGTAATGCTTATTCAGTTGGATTTTCTAAAAGCAAATTGTACTGGCTCAAGTTGGGCTTTTTCCCCACCCTTTGTTCTTTATATTGAGTATTTTAGCTCTTGGTACCTTTCACTAAAAGTCTTTTATAAAATTTTTCAGGATTCTAAAAGCTATATCAACTGACCAAAGGGAAAGTTGATCTCATAAAAATATGATTCATAGATGAGATTGCTGAAATATTAATTGTAAATGAATGGTTCTTTGAATTATATTCTCTTCTTCAAGTGCCCTCTTTCAAGCCTCCTCTTAATATGTTTTGAGGTTTCATTAATTTTCAGTGAGAAGATTTACAGCTAGTCGCAGTTCTGTAGTTGTATTTCCCCTTTTCCTTTCCAGATTATCACTTTCTGGCTATTGAAATATTTTTTACACTAAATTATGGGATTGAGGCAAGTGATCTAAAGATCAAAAGATAGGAAAGAAGGTTATGAAAACTTGTGCTTCTCTAATAGGAATACTTTAATGTTGGGATGCATTGGAACTCTCCATTGCGTTTGATTTTAATATTTTTATAAGTAATCTGGAAGAGGATGTACAACAGAAATGACAGCTATCATGGGGAGTGAAATTCTACATTGGTGGAAATAAGCCTAAGAAAGATCTTGAAAAGGTTGTCTGTGAGGGCAGAAAGCATCAGCTGAACTTCAATGAAGAGAAATGTGGGAATGTGTTTGGGGACAAATTATCAGTGATGATACAGAAGAGGGCCCTGTAGAGCACTCCCTGCCAACTTTAGAACGATATGTCTGTGGCCAAAAAGGCCAACAAGATACCAGGCATTGTCAGGGAAGATGTTAAAAGGAAAAGGGAAAATGCTGTCTTCCCCTTCTGCAAATCCATGGTTATTCTTCTCACAGAATAAGGGGTAGTGCTGGTTGCTGCACAAAGATAAAGCAATGCTAGGGAAGATCCAGAGAAGGGCTACTAATGTGATGATGGAAGGGAGAAAGACACGGGTGATGCTCTGTAAGGATGAGAAAATGAGGCCCCTTCACTATGGGGGAAGCTAAAAAAGAATTTTATTTATTTATTTATTTATTTATTTCCTTTTTCGTGTCCGGCAACGGATCACAACCCTCAGTGTCGCGCCCGTACCGGACCGGGACCGGCAACGGGATCGCAACCCTCGGTGCTGCGCCCACACCTCGCTCAGCCAGTGAGCGGGAACCAGTCTGTATGTGGGATCCGAACCCTCGGCGGGAGCGCCACCGCGCTCCCAAGCGGCGCACTGTAGCAGTGCGCCACCGGGCCGGCCCTAAAAAAGAATTTTGATCAAAGTTTATAAATAACATATTTATGGAGGAGAAAAATATAGTTTATCGGTCTGTAACATACAACAACTAACCTCAAGGCCAATTCCCTGCCCTTCAGCAGAAACATGTAGGAGGCAAGCTATAAGACAAAAGGAAGTTCCTGCTTTACTTAGTGGAAAATAAACTGGTAATTTCTTTTTTTCCATCTAATATCTTCTCTTAGAATAGAGTTCATAAATAGTGCTATGAATGAGAGATCACATAATTGGTTGTTAATGGAAGCTAGGGATGTTTGGGGAACAGGCTTAACTTTTGATAAGTTTTATGTTACTTACAAACTTTGTAACAAGGATGTGGTTGGGCCCTTCCACAAACTGCCACTTCCTCAATTGAAGCAAAATAAAGGATTACATGCTTGTGTGATGAGGTCCTTGGGTATTACATACCAAATATTCTATGGATCCTAGGGGCCCAGAAGGTTAGGCTTTAATTCTTATTTTCTGCATTGACTATGACTATCTGCATAGTCAGAAATACAGGCACACTACAAAGCAAGCTAGAAGTAGAGTTTGTGGGCTCCAGAGAGAGAGCTTACTTTCCAAAAAGGTTCTAATAATCCATGTTTTGGGTACTAGTGTGGAGGAGTTACCTTACTTTTTAATTCTGGCTTCTAACAATTGTTCCTATTTCTGCTTTCATAATAGTTCAGTTCCCTTATTTGGTTTTTCTCTGATTACCGTGAGTAAGAAATTCACTGCGCAAAATCCTTCTGCCCACATGTAGGGAGAAGTGGATACCAAAAAATGTGGCTCTGCTTTGGTCTCCAGTCTTGCCACAGACTTGAAACCAAGATATCATTTTGCTGCTTTGGAAAAGACCTATTATGAGAGGCTTCCATATCGGTGAGTAGCATTTTATTCTTTTTGGCTTTTTGAAGAATTTGTCTCGGATCTTCTGTTTAAACTTCTTTTATTCTAGCCATATAACATCTTGGTTCCTTTTGGTTACTCAGGTGCTGAAATGAATGATTCTTAAATCATTCAGCTTCTCTGAGTTTGTTCCCTAATCTGAAATATAAGGGATTGGACAATAAAGCCCCTTAAAGGTTTGAGAGTCTGAGTGTTGATCATTATAGCTCTTTGTAGCACTTTAGGTCCTGTTTTGATCATATCAAACCAGTATTCTTTGTACAGTCTTGAAAATTCAGTTCTCAGTATAATCACTTTAGAATTATTTCAGTTTGTATAACAAGACCTTGTATCAATTTTCCCTTTTCCTTTTTTTTTAGTTTGAGTTTGGAGGTGGAGTTTTTAAAGGATATATTATAGAAAACATAAAACCAGTGTTTTATAAGTCACAGAGTTAAATTAACTTTGAATTATCTTTGCTGATAAAGGATATGGATAATCCCTAAAATAACTTTTACCTTTTTTTTCCCTCAAAAATAATATATGTGCTTGTTGCTAGTTCAAAAAATATAAGTGAGCAAACAGAAGAGAATGACCTTTCCCCCCACATTAATCCCACGGCCTAATACATAATTATAGGTAAAAAGGCTTTCTGTTAAATCTCTATATATGCATTCCAGAAAAATCTCTTACTCTCTAAAAACATACCTTAAAAACAGAGATTATGGGAACAAGCCACTCAAAACCTGCACAATTTTTAAGGATCTGAATACACAATTCTTCACAGAACATGCACAAATGATCAGTAGGCACATAAGATGCTCACATCATTACCATTAGAGAAATGCAAATCAAAACCGCAGTGAAATACCATTCACGGGCCGGCCCGGTGGCGCACTGCTACAGTGCGCCGCTTGGGAAGTGCGGTGGCGCTCCCGCCGAGGGTTCGGATCCCACATACAGACTGGCCGCTCACTGGCTGAGCAAGGTGCGGGCGTAATAAGTTCGTATAGCATACATTATACGAAGTTATACGAATTTCCCCCACATTAATCCCACGGCCTAATACATAATTATAGGTAAAAAGGCTTTCTGTTAAATCTCTATATATGCATTCCAGAAAAATCTCTTACTCTCTAAAAACATACCTTAAAAACAGAGATTATGGGAACAAGCCACTCAAAACCTGCACAATTTTTAAGGATCTGAATACACAATTCTTCACAGAACATGCACAAATGATCAGTAGGCACATAAGATGCTCACATCATTACCATTAGAGAAATGCAAATCAAAACCGCAGTGAAATACCATTCACGGGCCGGCCCGGTGGCGCACTGCTACAGTGCGCCGCTTGGGAAGTGCGGTGGCGCTCCCGCCGAGGGTTCGGATCCCACATACAGACTGGCCGCTCACTGGCTGAGCAAGGTGCGGGGGCAACACCGAGGGTTGCGATCCCGTGGCCGGTCCCGGTCCGGTACGGGCGCGACACTGAGGGTTGCGATCCGTTGCTGGTCACGAAAAAAGACAAAAAGGGAAAAAAAAGAAATACCATTCACACCAACTAGAATGGCTGTATGAAAAAGTCAAATATGTAATAGCACATGTTGGTAAGGATGTGGAGTAATTGGAGCCCTTATACATTGCTGGTGGGAAAGTAAAATGGTGCAACCACTTTGAAAAACTGGTAGTTCTTCAAAAGGTTAAACACAAGTGTTACCATGTGATCAAGCAATTCCAGGGCTGGCCAGTGGCTCATTTGGAAGAGCGTAGTGCTGATAACACCACGGTCAAGGGTTCAGATCCCCAAACCAGCCAGCCACCAAAATAAAAAAAAAAGCAATTCTACACGTATTCCAAGAGAAATAAAAACATGTCCACACAAAATCTTGTACACAAATGATCGTAACAGCATTATTCATAGTAGCTCAAAAGTATAAACAACTAAACTGTCTATCACCTGATGAATGGATAAATAAAAAGTGGAAAATCTATATGACGTAATGTTATTTGGCAAGAAAAATGAAAGAAGTACTAATATATGCTACAACATGGTTGAACCTTGAAAACGTTATGCTAAGTGAAAGAAGCCGGACACAAAAGACCACATATGATTTCTTTTTTTTTTTTTTTTTTTTTTT